GTGATTGTGCTCTAAGTTTACACGAACCCAGTTTGCCTTGTGGTGTGAACCAGGCAGGAGCCAGGACAAGGCAGCCCCTTCCACCACTTGGTTTATTGCACTTGCACCCATCTCACGTTGCCAGGAACTACTGTATGTGGCCTTTAATTTTTCCTAATAATGCTTATCTATATGTATATAACTAGAAGTGCAGTTTAAGGTCAAAATAATTATGAGTCCAAGTGTTGAAAACATGAAGAAAGAAGAACAAACCTTCCAAAGAATGACTCCCTCCTGGCCCTCATTTATTAGCTACTCTTGCTCCTGTGGTGAGTTCAAAATACCCTTTTGACAGTATAGTAAATATGCAAACTGATTTACCTATCTTCACATTATTGCTTATTAATGTATAGATTCATGTTGGTTGTTCAGTGGATAGCGTTTCCTGCCCATGGGAGTTGTTTGGGTATCTCAAGTTGGCAAAAGATGTCTCATAACTTCCCATTAAAATTAATGGGAAAATTTTTTCATTAAAAATTTTTCATTTTCCTTCCCTTAGCTGCAAGATTTTCAGGAACGAATTGGGGGTTAAGCAGGCACAAGCCGAATTAGACCTCTGACCTTCAAAAATGGGACTTTGCAGCAAGACAATAGTCTTGAGTGGCTTCAATCTTTGGTCACTCCTGTGGTGTATCAATAGGCAGGGATTGACACAAAAGCCATCCTGGCTGAAAGGAGAAGTAGAGCAGCTGGCTCCCGGGCCCACCCAGAGGTGGGAGGGAAAGGCAGGGAGACACACAGAAATGGCAACGCCTCCCAGGCTTTGGCTTAGGGAAGGGAAGCTGCTGCCAGGTGACATCTCAGATCTGTAACTCTGGCTGCTGTGTGCCAACCTTGGCATTGCCCACACCAAAGGGAACTAGGCAAGGCCAGAACCCGGGAGGCTAGGTGTTTGGCTTTCCTGATTCACCCTCGAGTTCTATGTGGAAGGGGTTCCTTGCTGGAGCTCCAGGACTGTGGGGAATCACAGGGGCTTAAGGGTTGCTGTCCCAATTTGTGGAAGCCAAGGGATGAAGGACACCACACCACACAGGGACACTATGGGCTCTGAAATTTCAGGAGCTTAAGTCATAGCTGCCACAGATTTCAGAGAGCATTTTTCTGGAGATCCAGGTGGAAAGGACTCCACCCCCAGGACCCTGCCTCCTGAGCAAGTCCCCAGATCCTCTGCAGAGAGCATTTACAATGTGATGGGCTTTAGAGGTCTTTTTTTTTTTTTTAAGAGAGAGAGAGAGAGAATTTTTTAATATTTATTTTTTAGTTATTGGACACAACATCTTTGTTTGTATGTGGTGCTGAGGATCGAACCCGGGCCGCACGCATGCCAGGCGAGCACGATACTGCTTGAGCCACATCCCCAGCCCCTGTTCTATACTCTTGACCCACAGTGGATTTCCTGAGGACACCCAACCTCGACTCAAGGGCCTCAAGGGCCAGGGCAGAGGGACCACTAAAGTCAAGTTCTGGGATACTCTCAGACTCTGGGGAGTTCTGAAGAACAAGTGACCCTAGTTCTTCAACAGAGAAACTGGAGAGAACCAGGAAAAGGAGAGGGAGAGTCTGTAAATTAAAAGCAGAGTAGGAAATAAATCCACCATATACAGAGTGCAGACCTTATTTGGATTCCCACTTAAATCAACTGTAAAGAAAAATTTCTTGGGCTGGAGGTAGAAATTTCTTGGGCTCAGTGGTAGAATGTGTACACAAGGCCCTGGGTTCAATCCCCAGTTCCAGGAGGAAAAAAAAAGAAAGAAAGGAAGGAAGGAAAAATTAAAAAAAAAAAACTTTAGGCAAAAGAAGATTAAGGGATACAAATAGGAAAATAAGTTAATTTATCTGTTTGGTGATGATCTTAAATCTAAAAGACCCCAAAAAACTCCACCAGAACACTTCTGGAGCTCATAAATAAATTCAGCAAAGTAGCAGGACACAAGATTAACACTCACAAATAGCTTTCCTATTCTCCAGTAGTAATTATGCTGAGAAAGAAATCGGGAAAACTATCTCATTCACAATAACATCCAAAAACACAATAAAATACTTGGAAATTAATCTAACAAACAAAGTGAAAGACCTCTCTACAAGGATAACTATAGAACACTGATGAAAGAAATTGAAGAAGATCTTAGAAGATAGAAAGACCTCCCATATTCTTAGATAAGCAGAATTAATATTGTCAAAATGGACATAACTACCAAAAGCAATATACAGATTCAGTGCAATCAAAATACCAATGACATTCTTCACACACAAAAAGTTCTACAATTCATTTGGAAGAATAAAAGACCCAGAATAGCCAAAATAATCTTAAGCAAGAAGAGCAATGCTGGAGGCATCACAATACCTGATCTCAAATCATATTACAGAATAATAGTAATAAAAACAGATATTAACATCAAATAGGCATGAAGACCAGTGAAACAGAAGACACAAAGACAAACCCACATAGTTTTAGTTATCTGATACTTAACAAAGGTGCCAAAAATAAATGTTGGAGAAAAGATAGCCTTTTAAACAAGTGGTGCTAGCAAAAAACTGAATATCCATATGTAGAAGAATAAAACTAGATACCTATCTTTCACCCTGCAAAAAAGCAAGCCAAAGACATAGGAATTAAACCTGAAACCTTGCAACTGCTAGAATAAAACCTTGGGTTAACACTCCATCATATAGGGGCTGGCACTGACTTCCTTAACAAGACCTCTAAAGCTCAAGAAATAAAGCCAAGATTCAACAAGTTGGATGCCATCAAATTAAAAATCTTCTGCACAGCAAGGACAACAATCAAGAGCATGAAGAGACAGCCTACAGAATGGGAGAAAATCTTTGCTGGCTACTCCTCTGACAGAGGATTGATATCCAGAATATATAAAGTACTCAAAAAGCTACAGAGAGAGAGAGAGAGAGACATAATAATACCCTGGACAAAAGAACTAAACAGACACTTCTCAAAAGAAGAAATACAAATGGCCAACAAACATATGAAAAAATGTCCAAATTCCCTAGCAGTCAGGGAAATGCAAATCAAAACTATACTGAGATTTCATTTCACTGCAGTCAGAATGGCAATCATCAAGAAACAAATAATGATAAATGCTGGCAAAGATAGGGGGAAATGTATACTCATACATTGTTGGTGAGACTGCAGATTAGTACAGCCATTCTGGAAAGCAGTATGGAGATTCCTTTAAAAAAAAAAAAAAAAAAACTAGGAAAGGAACAACCACATGACCCAGCTAATCCACTCCTCAATATTTATCCAAAGAACTAAAATCAGTATAGTGTAGTGATACAGACATATCAATGTTTATAGGAGTGCAACTCTCAATATCCAAGGTAAGGAATCAGCCCAAATGCCTGTCAATAGATGAATGTGACGGGGAGAAGTGGCACAGACCAGGAGGCGGACAGTGTCTCAGCCTTGAAAGTGAAAACCAATCAGGATCCAGGCCACGTGGGAAGGAGAGGAGAACAGGGAGCACAGGCTTTTAGGAAGAGCTCAGCTGGCAAAGGCTGGGGACACTCTTGGGCACAGCACGTTTGAGGGTCCGGATGTGGATGGCTTGAGAGACAACTCAGGTCGTTGAAGAGCTCTGGGCCCATTACAGCCAAGATGGGTTCTGGAGCCACCCTAGACTGTGGAGCAATTCTGAACAGTTCTGTGGGTGTCCCATTGAGCATCTAGATGTGGACAAGTCTGCAGGTGGGTGTACCTGGAAGCCGCCCGCCAATCAAATCCCTGTCCCTCCCCTATCCTTCTGCCTGAATCTGCCCCAATTTGGTCTGAATCATCCACACCATTACCTGTGTCTGTTTGCACCACCAAAGAAATTAAACAAAAGTAAAGCATTACAAGGCCAGAAGGAAGATTAGGTACAGCTACAAAGGATTCTTGGCGTGGAGAGATTTGTGGGGCAGAGCCAGAGTGAGGGGAAAGGTGGCTGCTTTTACTCTTTGACCAGGAAACTAGAGCCCAAGGGCTGGTGGGCAGTCACAGTGGGACTCCAGAGCCCAAAAGTCAGGGGTGTGTTGTTAAAAACTCCCAAGTGGAAATCTTATATTTAGATTTTGTTTAAAATAAACTCTGATGAGGAGACGTTCTGTTTTGGTTTCCACTATTTCTATATTTAGAATCATTCACTACCTGTTTCTAAAACGAATTTAAGGGCTCTGCTAATATTAATTTGCAGATTTTCTTGGGAAATGGCTTAGAGTTTGAAACCACAGTGATATTCTAGCCCTGAGAAAATAATTTACTACTAATTGATGGTTAACATTATTTTACTGCCTTTACAAATACCTGGACCTAGATGATAGAAAAAAGAAATTAAGGGAAAAATTATTTTCCCATCTACATTTTACATGGCTCAAAAATCTATGGCTCAAGAACTTGAGGCTGACAACCAAAGAAAAATAAGCATGGATGTGGCTGCCTTGCAAAGACATCAGAGAGCCTGGTAAACATGAGAACGGGGCTGCAGGAAAGAGGGCTGTAGTTTGTGAGATGATTTGGAAAGGTAGGCTTTGCTTTACTGATACCATTTACCAATTTTACAATTTTCTTTCTAATATTTGAGAGAGAATGACATTTCCCTTCACCTTTGACTTGAAGAGGTCTGTACATTGGCTTACCATCCCTGTGCACAGGACCTCACTAAAAGTGACAGCCCTCCTGTGACCTCCTCAGGTCCAGGGCCTCTGATGGAACAGCCTTTTAAAAAAGCTCAGTCCTGAGCCGGGCGTATTGGTGCACGCTTGTAATCCCAATGACTGAGGACCCTGGGGCAGGAAGGAGGATCAAGTTCTAGGCCAGCCTGGGCAACTTGGTAGGACCCTGTCTCTAAATAAAAAATCAAAAGGGCCAGGGATATAGCTTAGTGGTAGAGGAGCCCCTGGATTCAATCCCTAGTACTGCAAAAATAAATAAATAAAAATAAAAGCTCAGTCCTCTGGGGATTTGAAAACACAGCCTTATTTTTTTTTTTTTTTTAGGGCCCAGGCTATGTGCAGAAGAACAGAGTCCTCAATGGGTTTTGGATTCAGACACCACTTCCTGACTGGCATAGTTTTAGGGAGGTTACTTAAGCTCTACAAGTTTATGAGGATTGAATGAGAAAATTTAGGTTAGACATTTAGCCCAGCGCCAGGCACACGGAGACTGCTGAGTAAACAGGATCTACTGTGGTTATTATTATTCATCGTTATTACCACTAGCATCATTATTTTATGGGCATAACTAATGAGTTGGCAATACTAACACAAACTTTAGCCAGAATTTGACAAGGCCAAAATAAAACCAGACCCAGTGAAAGAGACTATGCTCAGCTCTCCCCAGCTACAGCTGGCCAGCGGCCTCCCTCCTGCTCCTCTCCAAGACCTTTAGAAGAAGCTCCTCAGCAGCTGGTACCTTGCTCTTGTGCTGACACCTAGGGACAGCCCCTGGTGTTTGGGTTTTTTTTTTTTTTTTTTCCTACTATTATTGACGGACAGTCTGCAATATTCAAATCAGCTCTTTCAGTTCTTTTTTCTTTGGGGACCTGCCCAAGGAAGGCCTGGTGAGATGCTGTCAAGGGTTCCAGAGCAAGTCCTGTGTCTAAGACAGACCGGGTGAGTGACTGTGAAATTTCCTGCCAAGGTGATGGGGTCGGGGTGGAGGTGGTTTCCATAAGATTTTATAACATATAAAGAGGCAGAATCTGATGGATTTAGTTCATTGAAGAAGGCAAACCAAAGAAAATGGATTGGGGATGAGGAGGAAGGGCAGCCAGGTCAGTAAAGAAAAATCTGAGATTCCAGGGCGGGTGCAAGGCCTTCACTGGGCTGCTGGATTCTCCAGTTGAGATGCCCAAACCTGCTAGTGCAGCATAATTGGGGGAGTCAAGGGCTCTAGGGAAGAAGGTGTGAGGTCTGTGTGAAGCAGGTGAAGGACAAAAGTTCACCCTTACCTGCTCAGGGGAGACTCCTGTGTCCCTGAGGAAATAGCCATCTCTTGTAATCCCGCCCCAAGGGAACCCATTGGCGGAAGCTGGTTATTGCTCAGAGAAAATTCCAGAAATTTAAATCCTGAGCTGGCTGCCCCTCCTCAGAGCCAGAGGGAAAGGCAAGGAGGACCCTTCCTTTCTACTCTACGTGGTTTCAGGAAAGCAACGTGTCCAATCATTAGATTCTGCTAAAGAGAGTGGGAGGGGTGAAACTGAGCCACAACTTGCTCCTCCTTGGCTTGTCTAAAACGTCATCTATAAAAACTTCTCAAGGAGAAATGTAGAGTAAAAACAGAAGGAAGAGCTGCTTGCTTCTGCCTGTGGCGTGGGGGTGCAGGAGTGGCATCGGATGTGAACACGTGGGTGTAACTATTGGTATCAGCTTCCACCGCTCCAGCACACCCTCTCCTGTGACAGCTCATCGCCCCCTTACCGGGAAGTGAGTTTATTACACTTCCAGCTCACATAAATGAAAAGAAACAGGGCTGTAACTCTTTTATGGAGTGAGTGAGAAATGTTTTGTGTAGGTAATTTAAGTACAAACGAGAAGTCACCCATTGATTTTATATCATTTCCATAAATGTTTATTGATTTTAGATAATAATGTTTTGAATTTATATGGCCCATTTCTTTAGACAGAACAAAGCACATTCATATATATTTCCTTGATTTTTAAAAATCCCTGTGAAGTCAGATCCAGAAGGTACTATCATTCCTACAAAATAAAGTCTACAAGTAAAATGATTTTGTGTCTCTCTGTAGTCCACCAAGACACATTTGAATGCTGGGAGAAATTCTTTTTGTCACAAAAGAATCCCCCGATAATGGTTAGGAACACTTTAATTTTATTATGTGAGACTGCTTTATTAACTTCTGTACGGCTTCACGAATTCCAGCTTTGTAGCTACAGCTTCTTAAATCCGACTTTCTCCATTTGAACATCAGTTTCAAAAATAATCTTTTTGAACGTTTAAAAGATCAGAGGAACTGCTTAAATCCCTCTTTAAGACAGGAACATGATGGTGTGACAATCCCCCTTTCAACAGATGGCTCTACACTATAAGGACACTTGCCTTTTCATTATAAAAAATAATTTATTACACATCATTCCAGTCACTCTATTGCATCTTCTAGTATTTTTCCTCTTGTGGGTACCAGAGAAAAAGAAAAAATCCTTATTAGGATTTTTTTTTATCATCCATAATCATGAAATATTATGAAGGAGGGGAGGTCATGTAAATTTGAGTACAAAGGTGTTCTTAAAGAGAACAGTTTTTGTAATTGAGATGCCATAAAATTTACCTTCCCAAGGTGTACAGTTTAGTAGTATTTATGATACCGTGAAGTTGTGATACTGTCACCACTATCTTCTCCCAGAGCATTTCATCACCCCTAAAAGAAACCCCCCCCCATTAGAGTCCCATCCCCAGCCTTAGTCCCTGGCAGCCATTAAACCATTCGCTGCCTCTGTGAGTTTGCTGATAGTGAACATTTCATATAAATGAAAATTTCCAATTTTTTTCTCTTTTTTTCACTGAGCATGTTTGTCAAGGTCCAGCCGTGTTTCAGGACTTCTTTCTTTGTATGCTAATATTCTGTTGTAGTTATAGACAACATTTTCTTTATCTATTCATCAGTTGATGGACATTCGGGTTGTTTCTACCTTACAGCAATTATGAATAATTGAACATTCATGTGCAGGTTTTGACATGTTTTCAATCCTATCGAGTATACATCTAGGAGTGGAATTGGTGGGTCCTATTGGTATCTAAATTTAACTCTCTGAGGAACTTCTGTTTTTCACCATGGCTACACTATTTTATATCTCGACCAGCAACATACGAAGCTTCAAACTCATCCATGTCCTTGCCAATACTTATTTTGATTTCAGCCATCCCAGTGAGGGTGAAAGTGGTATCCCATGGTATAAAGACAGTGGCCACTCAGATCATCTATAAAGGTTTGCAAATAGATGGTAATTATTTTTTTTCCAGAAAACCAAACACTTGCTTCTTTGTTGCATGTCCTGCAGTTTATTTCTAAATCCTTCATTTTTGCAGAGCAAGATGTGTCTTCTGTGTGTTACAATCTGAATGACTTAACAATGAACATGAATGAATCACAGCTGAATAGATCCCAAAGAAGACAGTTCTCTTGGGTACCACTTCCTTTGCTACCCACAATCCCTAAATTGGTTCCACCAGCCCCACAAACTGACAGCAGTGGCTGACCCTGGGTGACCGGCACTCTCTGTTCAGCTGGTGGAAGACAGCATCAGATCTCAGCGCTCATGTGCACTTCAACTCCCCTGGCGCCCGGCCAGCCTTAGCTGGAGCTTTGCCATCTGCTGGAGCACAGGAGAGGCAGAACCCAAGTCTCCAATAGTTCTTTCATCCACATCAAGGTCAGGAGCTGAACTTTCTTATCACTAAAGTTTTTCTTGTTCCGATTTCCTTTCTGATGCCCCCAAAGTCCTTCTAAACCTCCAGAACTTGGACTCCCTCCTTAAGAGGTGTTCAACTTAGCCACAGCAGTGCACTTACTTCATTTCCAACAGGGTTAAAGTGAATAATCCCTGCGACAGCAATTTGAGCACACAAAGATAGAACTTCTTCTCCTACTAAAATTAACTTAGCTCTTCTGGACTCTCTTCTGCCCAGGGTAGAAAACTGTAATCTTGCCAATTCAAAATAACTGATCATTTTCTCATGGGTAACCACTGTTCGGTTCCAGGGAAGCTGCACACAGTCCACCTGCCTGTCCCTCCCTGGCCCCTGTGACGGGGCTAGCCCTGTTTGGCACTGACTTCTGACATCCCCAATCTGGAGGGACAGATCCAGGTCTGCCTGTCCCAACCACAAGGCCTGTGCTGGTCACCAAGATTCTGAGCCTCCCTGTAAGCTCAGCACCCAAGACACTGCTAGTTTTGGCCAGACTCTAAGATGCAGGATTCTCTAGGAGTATAAGGAGTTCCAAGCTACAGTCAGGAGAACCAGGCCATTTCAGGGCCCCTGGCCTCTCTGAGGTATTTGCCCTTCCCCCTACACTGGCAATTTGGAGTTTGCTCTGGAACAATCACAAAGACAGTGGGCATTTCTCAGGAAATCTCCCTGCCTGGTAGTTCTGGTCCTGTCTACAGAGTCTTCCTCCCCTTCCCCCTGGTCAAAGCCTATCTTTTGAAGCAGAACGTTCTGTTTCTCTCCTCTTTTCTTGAGTTTCTCAACCAGTGGTTCTCAGAGCAAGGTCTCAGGACCAGCAACAGCAGCAGCAGCACCCAAAGCCTTATAAAGCCCATTCTCAAGCCCCACCCAGACCTGCAGCTCAGAAACACAGGAACAAGTGAGAATACGGGTTTTGATGAGTCCTCCAGGTGATGGTGATCCAGCCTGAGTTTGAGAACCATCCCTGGCATCCCTGGCTTATGCCATATTCAGCTCCTGATTCTAAACAAAGCCTGGAATCCAAAAGCCTCTTTTTTTTTTCTTTCTTTCTTTTTTTTTAAATTAAGTACCAGGCTTTGAAAACTTATCTCTGCTTTAAATATTCAAGAGCCCATCCCTGAGCTCAGAAGCCCTGCTGTAATTTCTAACTGCTTGGGAGAGAAATGACACAATGAACTGCTCGTGTTTAAAGTGTACCTGATTTGTTTTGACTGCACACACCCGAGAGACAAGGCCACCATCAAATAAACAGACCCCATGGCCAGGAAAAGTCTCTAGTTGTCAGGATTTTGCTTCTGGTTTCAATGGGTTCCTCCTTCCGAGGGAGGACAAGCCTTGGCTTATCTGGATTTCCTGGTGAATGGCTGGGGGGCAGGAGGGCAGAGGAAGAGGGAGCAGCCCAGAAAGATAGTCCAGGGAATAATAATTCAAAACTCTGTCACTGCAGTCACTCCACACCTGCAATTTTGGAGGGAAGACTAGTTTCTTAGCCCCATGCTGAGAACTGGGGTACCAGAGCACACAAGGGAGACACCCTGATTCCTGAGCCAAAGCCCTGTGAGGAATCCTTGCTTTATTATATATCGTTGGATGTGTCTTAACAGAGAATGTGCTGAGCAGCAAAAATCAACTTCGCTGGGGGAGAAGGTCTGACACTCAACCTGAAACCTGGAGGACTGATTTGGATTGACAAGAGTGAGTTCCAGGCAGAGGAAGCTTCCCAGAGCCAATCAGGCAGCTGGAGGAGGAGAAACCAGCCCAAGCCCGTCTCAGCTCCCAGGACCTCCCCGCTCTGTAATTAATTACAGGTAGTTTTGTATCTTCCTCCGAATCATTATTTAATTCCTACAGTGTTGACTGGGTTGGTAATATTTGTCTCTGCTCTTTTTAGTTCAGGTTGTAAGCTTGTGAGTACAAACTCCATGGCTTGGTATATAATCCATGTCACATTTACTTGTTTCTTTAAATCAGGTTTAATCAGCTCAGAATCCCATCCCCCACTCACCAGAGTTGAGAAACCCAATTGTTGTAGGGACAGACAAGGCAAGGCACCAAAGATAGCAGGAAACAGTTTTATTTGGCTGCAGCCAGGTTCAGAGGGCACAGCTTTTGCTGTAATCAATTAATCCCCTGAACCCCGAGTTCAGGGAGTTTCAGAATTTTATACCCAGCATGTAAGGGGAGGGGCTCAGAAGTTCCCAGTCTGCAGAAGTTCACATAAAAGCAGCTTTTCTTTCACTGTTTTGGGCAAGTTAACCCTTCAAGGTCAGCACCTGAGAAGGGGAGAGCTTCTTCTTCCCTTCTTTCCTCCCCCTGCCAGCTGTTACCATGGAGCCCATTTGTAACTTATCTTAAAAATGTAGACATCTCTGTGAAGCCCTAGCTCAAGGCCAGAGGCCTTGTTTGCACATTTCTACAAAATACTATACTGGATATGTTTGTGAAAAACTAGTAAGGGGTGTCCAGCACCTGGGGTGCTGGTATCTTCCCGGCCAGTGGCCAAGTAAAACAGGGTGACATGAAAATAGGAAGTTTATCTACATTGAGCTCTTTTGCAGAGACTCTTTTGCTGACAGTCCTAAAATCAGCCATGGTGAAGATTTCTGGAGAAGCCCAGTTAAGTCTTTTCTGTGGAGAAAGGGGGTGCCACTTCACAACCTCAGTCTCAAGGGAGATACTTCCTCCTCTATCTGCCGCCAGCATCCTGAGAAGATACTGAGGGTCTGACACGACCCAGAGCAGGCATCAGGACTCTGGTTTCTGGCCTCCTTGACCGTGACTCAGGAACTCATCTCAGAATCAAGATGGTCCCCGACTACGGCACATTTATGTCTTGGGCCATGCTTGGACATGCAGATTTGCTGAGACTAGGGGTTTCCAGTGCCTTGGGTCTAACCTGCCTGGCTACACCCCAGCCCCTCCCTGGAGACCCTGTGAGGGAACAGGTGTGGCCCATGTTGCTTGCAAATCCCTCCAAAATGTCAGACCCTTGCCTGGTCTCCCCAACTCTCTCCCAGCCTGGCCCCACAGCCATGGCTGCATCCCTGCTAGCTTCTCCCTATAATGTCCTCTCCTTCCAGGCTGAGGTCATAATGCCAGCCAAGGTTTTCCTGAGGAACTCACTGACTTCCTTCCTCAGTCAGTGTTGGGACCCAGCATGGCACCTCAGTCCCCATCCCTGTGAGTCCCTCAAGAGAGTGGGGGATTGGCAGGCGTTGTGGCTCAGTGGCTTTATGCTTGCCTAGCTTGTGTGAGGCACTGGGTTCTATCCTCAGCACTACATAAAAACAAATAAATAAAATAAAGGTATTGTGCCTATCTACAACTAAATTTATATATATATATATATATATATATATATATATATATATATATATATAAATTAAAAGAGAGAGAGAGAGTGGGGGAGTTGGTTCATGACCTTGCCTCCCTTAGGGCCAGTAACTCCTTCTGACAGAGCAGCCTCCTAAGGGCAAGGAGGCAGGCCTGGGTAAGGTGCATCTTCCAGGTCTTGAAGGTGGCAGCCTCCTTGGAGGATCTCCTTCCTTCCACCCCAGTTCCCTGCTGACCCCAGGGCCTGCCCTGGCATACCCTCTGAGCCTCCCCATAACCAGGAGAGGAGCGATTGTCATCAGCTGAAAAGTTTTTGGATGAGGGCCCCTGACTCCAGCACCTTGCCTGCCCTGCGGATGGGAATGTGCTTCCACTCACATGTGAGTGCCGCCCCGAACCAGATGGGAACATCAATGTGTGGCGGCGCCCACTCATGCTCATTAACCTGCAGAGCCCCGCACAGGGCATGAACCAGAAAAGTTGCTCATTGTTCATTTGAATCAGAGGATATTTATTAAGTTGAAATCCATTCCTTACTTTTATTCAGGACCCCTCTCTGTATTCCTCCAAACAGACAGTCAAGTATTTATTTTAAGAGTAGAAACATCTGTGCTGTCTTGGAATGCTCAGTGTCCCCACAGATAAACAGCAGCCACAGCACCAAGCGCTGCCTGAGGCAAACAGCCTCCAAGCTCTTCACTAGTGGACACATGCTGAGCTCTCAGCCTCACAGTGGCCATCACGGGCACCTCAAATTGGATTCACAGGTAGCACGAGATAGTCAATCAGGGCATCCTCCTCCTCCTGTGGCCCCTCCCCACACAGACCTCCACCTGTCTTCTCCCCAGGACCTACAGTTTCCCACCTCTATTTCTGGGGAAACTAGGGATTGAACTCAGGGGGCACTCAACCACTAAGCCACACTCCCAGGCCTATTTTGTATTTTATTCAGAGACAGGGTCTCACTGCATTGCCTCACTTTTGCTGAGGCTGGTTTTGAACTGGCGATCCTTCTGCCTCAGCCTCCCCTAGGATTAGAGGCAAGCAACACTGCACCAAGCAGGTTCCCACCCTCATTGAAGCCACCTCTCCCGTTCCTTCACATTGATTCAAGACCTCTACTGCATATTTCAGAGATCTCCCTCTACCATCTCACTCATGACCCTCCTGTACCTCGCCATTCTCAGACTCACCTTTGCCCCCTTCGGGTTCACTAAGCCCCCTTCACATCGTAAGTTTATACTTGCAGTAAACAGCCACACCATGTAGGTTGCCTCTGATGAAACCCAACCTGGACACACACTCCTTCACTGAGATCTTATGCGTAACTGGACTCCAGCCTCCCATTTTACCTAAGAGCAAACAAAGGCCCAGGAGATGAAATGGGCTCCTGCCAGGGATGCCCTTCCTCCCTCAGAGCTCCTGCCTCAGGCCAACCTGCCATCTTAGAGTGGAGCCTTGCTGAGCCCAAGCCACAGGTGTGGCTAGATCTTAGGATTAATCAACAGAAATGTATTGAGCACCATCAGCTCTACTTGGAATGCATCCCTTTCCAAAATTCAGGTGTTGAAACTTTACCAGTGTGCTGGCGGTAGGGGGTGGGGGCCTGCAGGAAGTGCTGGGATCATGAAGCTCCTCCCCTTAGGGATGAGAGTCAGGCCTTTTAATGAGGCTTTGCGCAGTGGCCCACTTGCCCTCTGCATTGCCCTTCACCTCTGCCATGTGAAGACAGCGTTCCCCTCTCCAGAAGATGTAGCAACAAGGTGCCACTTTGGAGGCCGAGAGCAGCCCTCACTCGACAATGAAACCGGCGCTCCTGGATCTTGAACTCTCCAGCCTCCAGAACTGTGAGGAAGTGAGTTTCTGTTCATTATAAATTACCTCGTCTCAGGTACAGCAGCGCAAGTTAACTCAGATGCCACTCAGGTAGGATCCCCAGAAGCAGACCTGGATCACGGACAAGGGTCTGACCACAGAAGTGCCCCCAGGAGACTTCTGGAAAGAGTTGTGCAGAAAGGGTGAGGAAGGGAAGAAGCCAAGAAAAGGTACCATCTCTGCCATGCCCAGCCTCCGCCTGATCCCCCGGGGGAGCTGCCTTGGTGTGTGCTAGGCTGGAGTTCACTTCAGCGAGGCAAGGAGGTGAGTCCCCTGCACCCTCCACACCTCAAGCACAAGCCTCTGGGAGGACGGAAAGGTACGTGAAACAGACACATGGAAGCTACATTAATCCATTTTATGTGCGATGTGGCATGTCATATTACAAATAGAAAGTAGGCACCTTTAACAATCTGTGTGACAAGGGGGTCTAGTGGCCTCAGGGCAGTCACCTAAGAGAGGTCACAAGTATTGGATGTTAGCAGAACTGGATGCAGGTGCAGAGCCCATCATAGGGACCTGAGGGGCATGGTAGGTACCTGTGAGACCCCTGCAGCCACACTGTGGGCCTGCTCTATTCTAGATGCTTCCAGACATTGGCCATGTAAGCCATACAACAGCCCAAGAGGTCGGTACTGCCTTTTCATTCCTATTTCACAGAAGAGGAAACTGAGGCACCAAAGTCAAATCAGTTGTCCAAAGTTGTTTGTGTAGTGTCAAAAGAGGGTTTTCAACCAGGCACTCTGCTCCAGCCTCTCAAATCCTGGCAGTTGGACAACTCTCAGGACAGGGTGCAGAGCAAGGCCCCCCAGGAGAAAGAAAGCCAAAAGATCCCTCTGGGTGTGGGCAGGTGGGGAGGAGGTAACCAAAAAGTTTTGTCTTAAAACCAAGGAGTACATCTCTGTGTGTCTGTGTGTGTATAATTTTTTGGTTTTGCCTCTAGAACAGGCAAAAATTATGGTAGAAAAAAACATGGAAGGTTTTCTGGGTTGATGTTTATGTTATATTTTTTGCATCTGTCAAAACCAGTGCAAGTATACTTTAGTCTGCATTTCATAGGATGTAGATCTTACCTCAAAAACACACAAAAAAGTAAATATTAAACTCCAGCTGATGATTGTATGTTGAGGCTTTGGGAATCCTAGTGGGAGATGGCTGGCATCTGCAATTTGCTCTGAAATTCATTTGAACAAGAGGATGGATTGACAGATGAATGGAGCATGGAAAGATGGACAGGTAAGTGACAAAGCAGATATAGGAAGATGTTCATAGAATCTAGGTTTGGGGTGTACCAAACTGTACACAATTTCTGTGTGTCTGAAATTTTTCATAACATGTTGAGGGAAATGTGTTTCCCTCTGGGGAGGGTAGATATGGGTGAAGAAGAAGGGACTGTCCCTTTTCACTTTGTTTCTGTATTTTTTCATTTTTTAAAATATTTTCTTAGTTGTCAATGGAGCTTTATTTTATGTGTTGATACATGGTGCTAAGAATCAAACCCAGAGCCTCACACATGCTAGGCAAGCACTGTACCACTGAGCCACAATCCCAGCTCCCTCTTTCATTCATCTTTATCAGCATGTACCATTTTTGTAAAAAGTTGTTTTCCTTTAATAATTTTAAAAGTAGCACAAGATATGATCTTGCCCCTGGGGAGTTGAGCATGTAAGGGGAATTGAAGACAAAAGGTGCCTTTTATCATGTTGTCCTTGCCAAGGAAAGTGCTAGTATCCTATAACAGTGCTCTTGAAAAGGTGGCCCACAGTCAAAGGTCAAGTGTTCTTTGTCTCTGTCACCCACCCCTGCCTTTGTGGGCTGAGCCTCAGTTCCACAGACTGTCCAACAAGAGGATTGATTTGGGTGTTCCAGGGTCCCTTTCAACGCCGCCTGAGACATTCCCAAGAGATGTTTTTATGAATGGTGTCTGTTATATTTGAACACCTCTAAGTTCAAGAGTTTTTTTAGATTTACACTTTAAAAAATAAATGTTTGGAAGTCAAAATAAAGGCAGGCTTATGATACTTTGAGATTGCTGTGGAAAGGGATATTTTGTTCTGTGCCAGCAGAGGAAATTTGATGTCACCCTGTGCTCCCCATATGAGTGACTCTGTCCTTGTATGAAACACTCCCGTGAATTTCTTTTCATTTTTTGTGGTGCCAGGGACCGCACCCAGAGCCTTATTCATGCTAAGTAAGTGCTCTACCACTCAACTACCCCCAGCTCTGTGGACAAGGTTTTACGGCAGTAGAGCACTCGCCTAGCACATGCAGGCCCTGGGTTCGATCCCTGGCACTGCAAAAATAAAAAATAGATGACCACAACCATGCTGGCATTTGTGCAGTCTCCATCTGACCCCACTGCCCCCTAGTGAGACGGTCTCATCCTTTGCATGTGAGCTCTGCATCATGGCTTCCCTCAGACCACCCATGAAGTCCAAAATCCTCAGAAAGAGGATTCATCTGGCATCAGTTCATCTGCTATGTCAGAATTAAGTGTGACTGGCAGAAACCAGGAGGTATTGACAACAGGGTGAGGAAAAGTTCAAGGTCAGATCTTGATGCCCAACATTGGTTATGAGAGCAACAAGAAAGCAAAGCACATGCTGCCCAGTGGCTTCCAGAAGTTCCTGGTCCACTGGAAGAGCTGCTGTCATGCAAGGAGTCTTACTGTCTGGGCTTGCTCACAGTGTGTCCTGCAAGAATTACCACAAAGCCATCGTGGGAAGAGCAGCCCGCTGACCATCAGAGTCGCCAATCCCAGTGCCAGGCTACACAGGGAAGAAAAGAAAATGTGCACATTTGTTTGTGTGTGTGCTTGAATAAAACCACAAAAACTGCCACCTTCCCCCGCAAAAATCCCCAACCATGGTCATCTGTGCATTGCCTGTGTCTTGTCCAGGAAGACAGTGGTAGTGGTTGTGAGAGGGACCCTCTGGCCTCCAAAGCCTGAGAAAAACTTGTCAACTGCTGCTCCAGACATTCACCCCTCTCCTGATGTCATCAGGCTGGGCTTCATATTTTAAGTTTCTTTTGCCAAACATCACTAGAGTTGCCAA